ACAGGATAGCACGACTGACGCAGACAGGCGGACGTCACATTGGGAGCGGCGACACCCGGGGGGGGGGGACGTCACACGACCAACTTACCTATCCCAGAAGCAAGTAAATATTTAGGGACTAAGATCTATAATACTGATTTTGCCATTAAATAACCCAAAAGGGGTTAACATAAAAATAACCAAACCAAACCACCGCTTTGGTAATGTTTTTAACAGTTACTGTTTAAATCTCGGTGCTTAATATTCATCCTGGTAAATACTACCATTAATATTTTTAACATTGTATCCTTATTTAAATTGGACTAATTTTCAGAAGAGATATATTTAGGAAAAATGTTAGTGACATCTGCAATGCACACTTATATTTTTGTTAACGTTTAACTAAAATATAAACTTTCTTATATATTTATGAATCTTATTTACACTATTTAAATTGGGACTAATTTCCTCATCTTTGTTATCACAACGTTTCGTCCGTGGTACCATCCTGCCTTCAGGAGGTCTATATCGATCAGGGTAACTTACAAGGATTTCCCACGAGACAATAGCCTAGTGGATTAAAGCATTGGTTTGTGAATTTGGTGACGGCGTACTTTTGAGTTCAATCTCTTAGGCGGGCAATGTGTAGTTGGATTTCGGGCGACATACAACGGAGCAGTACTAAAAATAACTATACTCTAGACAGAGTGGAACGAATAGTCTAATCCCGTAGGGTTCAGTTCGGAATTCCCGCTAGGTTACCCGGATCTATATCGACCTGATGTATGTCGGAAAGCATAATGGCCGAAAGGTTGTGATTGCAACAAATAAGATGAAGAAAATAGTTCGCATGTAAATAGCGTAGATAATACCTCCCCGAAATTCGGACGAATTATCGATTCGGAACTCTAATTTTTAACATGATCTGATTTTATCTTAAATGTGTGAATGTTATCGCAGTTTTCGTTTTAATGAAATAATTATAAAACGTATCCTAAACACTTACAGTATTCAGTTAACCATTTAAACATTTTTTGCATAGATGCTAAGTTTTTCTAAAACCTATCACCAGACAGCTGTTGCCGTACGTTCACCTGATATATTCTTATTAGATAAGGTGTCACGGTGGATATACAAGATTTTGTACATTTGTACGTGGATGTTATTTTGGCATGCTGCAAATTCACCCCTCCTCCTCCTCCTCCTCCTCCACAACAATAATAATAATAACAACAATAACAACAATAATAATAATAACAATAATAATAATATTAACAACAATAATAATAACAATAATAATAATATTAACAACAATAATAACAATAATAATAATAATAATAAAATAATAGTATTAGTAATAGTGTCGTATATTGCTGCTGGGCTCTGATAAGTTGGCGAAAACTTTTTTTAAATATTTCACCCCAAGCAATGCGGGAGAGACCCATGCACGCAAGTGGCTACAGAAAGTAAGAGCAAGAGTAAAGATGCGTGATAGAGGAAAGAATGAAGAGAAGGACGGGGAATTAGATCATGGCATCTGGAGATGTCGATTGCACATTGCATTTGAATATTTGGAGATTATAGCTATAAGGGAAGCAAGTAAGGGTTCCACGGACGGAAAGTGCGAGACATGAAGCTATTAGAGTAGAAGAGACAGCTACATTTAAACGTTTCGACAGTGAAAAGGTGACACTGACATGCCAATCTATTAGCATGTTTAAATTCAAGCAGTTTGAGAAAACAGCGAAAGTAGCTCATCAGGGCATTTACCGTGAAAGTATGTGTATAAAAGACAGATGGAAGCCACAGCACGTCTGTGAGAGATCGACTGTAAACGAGATGCAGGATCAGTGACAGTCATATTGCATATCCGTCTTTGGATTTTGTTGAGGATCTTAAGCCGAAAAGCTGGGGCTATAGACCATATATGGCAGCAGTATTCCATGCAAGGACGAATGGCTGATTTGAAGGATGGCCTCGGACGAGAAAAACTTTCTAGTGCAACCAACTTTCCTTGACCTTTATTGTTCGAGTTACGGCGATTGGGTAGAGTGTGGGAAAATCACAGGGGTTAGAACTGCGCACACACAATTTGACGGAGACAAATTTTCGCTGAACCACAAGCCAGCTTCTCTGTCCAGATCAAGAAACGGACCGGTTAAACAACATTTGGACACCTACGCATCTTCGCGTGGCCACGCCTTCTTCCGTAATGCGCCGAGGCAAGCTCGCATTTCCTTCCGCTCAGGACACCTGTACGTCTTGTTTATTTTAACTACCGGATACATTTCCTGTTTATGCTCTCATCCGTTCCGATTTCCGCTTACATAGTGAAGTAAGGCCAAAGGTTTTTCCTCAACCGATATCCAACAATAGTAATAATAATAGTAATAATATTAATAGTAGTGGTAATAATTATAGTAGTATTAGTAATAGTAATAATAGTAGTAGTATATATGGGATCACCAGGTTGAGGATGTTTCAGTTGCATGCCTTCACGCTGGGGTGGTTTCCTTCGTTTTGATACGTTCATTACCAGTACAGCCGTTTTTTTTTTGTTTTTTTTTGCTACAAGGCAAGCAACGTTTGTACAAAGACATGATTTCTTGTAGATTTATAAATTTTTATTACTTTAACATTTTTAAAATAACCTGAAGATGGACATACTGTCGAAATATTGTTTATTTTTCTTTTCTTAAATCGCGCTCTTCTCTTAAATGTTGAAAATATTGGAAGAGTTACGTCAATCATTTTGTTTAGTAGTAGTAGTAGTAGTAGTAGTAATAGAAGTAGTAGTAACAACAACAAAATAATAATAATAATAATAATAATAATAATGATGATGATGATGATGATGATGCTACACCAGACGTCCAACTCTTGGCGTGTGAGGTTAAATGACTGGAGGTGTTGACATGTTTTGTCTTGAGTTAAGATGGGTTAGAGTAAATATCCTGTTCAGTCCCACAGATTTGCTTGTCAATTTCCTGACTCTCCCCGGGGAGTGATGCACTTATGCATCAATTTATGAGCAGGGATAGTTGGGGAGGATCATGTATGGATGTCAAGAGATTTGTTTGTTTTTTTTTAAGTTTCAAGGAATATTGCAGCCAAACCGACTTTGGGGTCGCATTTCGTTACTTCAATACATTTGTAATAAAAAGAATGAACCTTAGACTCATAAAATACCTTGAGGGAAAATTACCCTACAATAACCATCAAAAATATTTCTTTATTACCTATTTTGAAGAGAGAAAGGAGCAGTGTACTTACCTTGTGTTGTTGAAATCCTTACTAAACAAAAAGCTTACTATCTTTACTAACACTTTATATTTACAGTGATGACAGGGTTACAATGCGATCCTGAAGTTGTATAAAAGGAGAGAAAATCGATCTTTCTTTAATTAAAATTACTTTCCATGTTATCAGGAGGAAAAGGGCAATATATTTTGCAATTAATGTGCCATTTTTTCGACCTGACCAATCTCTGTTTGTAAGGGGGTCGGATCCTTTTCTCAACATTATACTCAGAAAAATATACTCAAGGAATGCAAAATCCATCCATCTGCTGATATAACCTAATATTACACATTTCAATTTCAAAATTCGTCATATTTTACCCAAACTTTCAATACACACTTAAATAAGGCCATAAACGGTGCATTTTGCTTTTACACGTGTCTCTATTATTGACCAAATGCGCATGATCAATTTTGCCCTTACTTCATTGGCCAATTCATTTTATCTCCTCACATGAAATTCTGTTACAGACTTCTTCTAAGAATGAGATTAAAATCAAAAAAATCAAAGAATATAATTAATGCTGTTTTCCTTTTAAATCTATACCGATAATTCTCAATATGTGTATGTATGTGTGTGTGTGTGTGTGATCGGATGTTTATGAATTTCCAGTTTTCATCCGATTTCAATGAAATTTTGGGGGTTTGATAGATAATTCTTCAGTGCCGGTTTTGAGTTCGAATTTTTGGCGACAATGGCCTTCCACTACTTCCTTTCTATTATAACCATTTAAAGAGCATAAAATTCCTGTCCATTATAACTACTTAAAGAGCATAAAATAATAATCAGTGATGATACTGGTGTAATAATAAAATAAAATATAACATTTTAAAATTAAACACAGACACGGAGATGTTTCAAATAACTAATTGTTATGTTCCGACAATCCTCGTCGGAACTGTTATATTCCGGAATAAATAAGTAACACCAGCTGGATACTAGAAGAAAGGTTTATTGTACACAACAAGTACAATATGAAATATGGTAGAGTTATACACACAGGTCAATCTAGCAGTGAGTGCCACTAATTGGAAGGTCGAACGTGTTTGCGTGTTTTGTTTTTTTCTTTCTTCCTCTTTCTCTCTCTCGTAGACAGTTGACTTTATATGTACTTAGTACCTATAGTGTAATCATTCATGGGGGGATTATTCAAATACATCACTAATAGAACTAAAACAGAATTGAAACTGACATAACACTTGTAACAGCCCGCTGACCAGTCGCTGCTATTTTATCAGGAATTCTTATAAAGAATATACAAGGAAATATTGACACCAAAAACTGAGTTACAACAGAATTCTTAATAAAAAAAAAAATAAAATAAAATAAAAAAAGGCCAAAGTTTAATTATTGGCAAACAAGCAACAAATTAATTACAATTGTGTAGATTTATTGATTAGTAAGAACTGAGTGATTACCTGGTAAGGGGTGAAATATTAAAAACACGTAAAAATGTTCCAAATTATGAGTGTGTGGATATGCAAAAATATTTAAATTAGTATTCCAGAAAAAGGAGAGTAGTAACAACATGCAAGTGTTAAGTCGTTGGAATGTCCGTGTGTTAATGTCCTTGATGAAAGAAAAGGTTAAATTCACTTGAAATTGTTTGAATGAAATAATTTGGGACTTGTCAGTATAATCCAAAAATGGCGGCGTGCGGAAATGAAAAATATGCCACACGTGGCACGTCGTTACGTAAATCCAGAAATTTGGTCTGAATG